TGTGTATGTATAATTCTTCATTGTATTAATATGGTATATCACATTTATTGATTTGCTTATGTTGAACCATTCTTGCATCCCAGGAATAACTCCCACTTGATCATGTTATATGATTTTGAAAATATGCTGTTGAATTTGGTTTCCTAGTATTTTATTGAGAATCTTTGCATCTATATTCATGAGGGATATTGGCCTGTAGTTTTCTTTTCTTGTAGTGTCCTTTTGTGGCTTTGGTATCAGGGTAATGATGGCCTCATGAAATGAGTTTGGGAGTGTGCCTTCCCTCTTCAATTTTTGGAAGATTGGGAAGGATTGGTGTTAATTCTTCTTTAAATGTTTGGTAGAATTCACCAGTGAAACCATCTGGTCCTGGGCTTTTCTTTGTTGGGAGTTCTTTGATTCAGTCTTCTTACACATTATTGGTCTATCCTGATTTTCTGTTTCTTCATGGTTCAGTCTTGGTAGGTCGTATGTTTCTAGGAATCTATCCATTTCTTTTAGGTTGTACAGTTTGTTGGCGTATAATTATTCACAGTATTTTCTTGCGAACCTTTGTATTTCTGTGGTATACATTGCAGGGTCCCTTCTTTCACTTATAATTTTATTTATTTGAATCCTCTTTTTTCTTGGTTAGTCTAGCTAAAGTTTTGCCAATTTATCTTCTTAAAAACACCAACCCTAAGTTTTGTTGATCTTTCTATTAATTTTGTATTCTCTATTTCACTTACTTCAGCTCTAATCTTTATCATTTCCTTTGTCTGATAACTTTGGGCTTGGTTTATCCTTCTTTTTCCAGTTCTTTGAAATGTAATGTAATCTTTTATCTTAATGTAGGCATTTATAGCTATAAATGACCTCTTAGAACTGCTTTTGCTGCATCTCATAAGTTTTGTTTTGTTGTGTTTACATTTTCATTTGTTTCAAGATTTTTTTCTGATTTCCCTGTTGATTTCTTCTTCGATCCATTGGTTGTTCAGGACTGTGTTGTTTAATTTCCACGTATTTGTGAATTTTCCAATTTTTCTTCTGTTACTACTTTCTAGTTTCTTACCATTGTGGTCAGAAAAGATATTTGATACGAATTCAATCTTCTTGACTTTGTCGAGACTTGTTTCGTGGCTTAGCATATGATCTACCCTGGGTAATGTTCCACGTGGGTCTGAGAGGAATGTGTATTCTGCTGCTGTTGAAATGTGTTGTATATATGTCTGTTAGAGTCATCGGGTCTATAGTGTTGTTTAAATGCTGTTTCCTCATTGATTTTCTGTCTGGAAGACCTATCCATTAAAGTGCCCCTAGCACATTATTTTTTTCCCATGAGAAATTATCATCTCCTCTTTTTGGATGGGTTTGAACATATCATAAACTTAATGTCTCCATGCTCTGCGTAGTGTTACTTCTACCTGCGATTCTGTTCCCCTACCCCTTGTCTAATATTGAGTTCTTTGAATATTCAGTTTAAAATTATGATTTTCTGTTAAGCTATTCTGTCAGATAAAGTTTGTGCAAGCATAGGACTTGATAATAACTTCTATTTTACTACTCATAAGTCCTGCTGGATATCATAGCAATTATGTGCTTGGGTGTCTAGCACCTCCACTGAACTAATTCCTTCCGCCAGAAAGCATGCCTTCTGTTTACCCACACTTTCAAATTTGGGAAACTCTAATAAATATGTACTGAAACAAATAAAGTGAGAAATTCTGGAAGAAGCAGCAATATATAAAAATAAGGAGTGGCAAAGGTCAGGAAGGACATTAGTTGCAGTATGTGGATGCTTAGCTTAAGTATATGGTAGAAAATCAGATTATGGAGGAGAAAAAGAATGCCTCAGGCATCAGATTTGATCTGGGTCCTGGTATTCATAAAGGAGGAACAAGGTAAATTACTCAGTTTTGTTATTTGAAAGGAGAAAGCTTACTTTTCCTTTCTAATAATAAAATTTCTTTAAGATTAATATTTCTTCAAAATGTCTAATCATTAATTAACCAGGATACTTGTTGAAAATGCAGATCACTAGCCCTTCTCCTGATGATTCTGATTTGGCAGGTCTGTAATAGGGACCAGGAATTTGTATTTTACAAGCACTACGAGGTGATTCTCATTTTTAGCCAAGTTTGGAAAACCATAACTAAAGGCAGAGCTCCTAGTGTCTCCATAATTTTTTCATGGTGCCTCAAGCCAAAAGAAATACCCCAAAGTTCTGTCTATTCAGTAGATAGATCCAGACAACTTAATAGTTGTAGTTGTTAACAGAGTCCAACAGATGTCACTGTGTTCCCCTCAAAAAGTTAAAATATCCCATGCCCTATGATTTCCCTGAGGTACCCCAGAGCACCTCAGCACACAGTTTATGAGCTATAGCCTAAAGGGAGCATTTTCCTGGCATAGCATCTAAATAAAATATTTGAATGGGCCTTCTATAGAAAGACTGTGAGACAAAGTAGACAATGTATTCCATGAATTTCATCACTTTTTCTATCATTTGCTGCCTTTTCATATGGTTGTTACTGCTCATAAAGCAAGTATCATTCTCCCATAAAGAGCCTGAGAGCAAATATTTTAGGTTTTTCAAGGCCCCAGATGGTCTCTATTGCAGTCTTGTCTTGTCTTTTCTGTTGCAGCCCTTTAAACATGTAAAAACCATTCTTATCTCTTGAATTTGACCCACAGGCTGTAGTTAACCAAGCAGGTTCTAGTTATAAGCCTAGTATAAAACATTAAAGTACAATTTGGTATAGGTGATTCTGCAAGGCTGTAAGCTCTCAATATTTTCCTATCTCATCCTTTTTTGTTCAGCGAAGTGTGTGCAGTAATGCATCCCTGCAACTAATATGGGAATATGCAACTAATATGGCCTGCTTGATTTCAAAGCTACTATAAAAAGAAAGCTGTCATTGAATCTTGCTCTTATTTCTTTTTTTAATGAGAATTCGCAAGTTTTTCTCCGGCTTAATAAAGAATATCTTTAAATTTCCAAGAAAAGGAGACTAGCCCTTTATCACTCGCTTGCTAATTATTGTAAATGGCTAACGAGATTCCACAATTATAAGTAATAAGGCAAGCCTTAGCTTATACTAGATAAATAACTTGATAGAATATGCCGTTTGAGAATTCTAGCTTTATTTCCAAAATTAGTGTTGCTATTTTGAAAACATGCATTGTGCTTATTAGTCTTTAGGTTTTACGTCAGTTATTTTTTAAAGTCTAGTGTGACAAGTACTGTTCCTATGCTAGTCTTAATGGAGATAAATATAGCAATAATGGTCTTGAGAAAAATCAGGAAATTTCTTGAGGAAATTTCAGTCCATATCTAAAAAGTGAAAATTTTTTGAAAAGTGCACCATAAAAATTCTTCCAATATCTTTCAGTCTCCACCCAAAAGATGTTTGTTCATTAACTATTTCCCAGAACTTTAAGTCAGTACTCCTCCTTATTTGTTGTCATAAGTACTCTTAAATTATCAATGATCGTATTTTGTAATTACATTTATTCTTGTGGGAATTTGGTTACTTCCATTTTCTCTCATGAGACTCCAATATTCCACGAGCGCCAGTCTATCCCCGGCACATAGAATTGTGCCTACTGCCTATTAAGTATTCAGTAAATATTTGCACATCTATGGGTCAAGCACACAGCTGCAATTAAGAGTCAGAATTATGGAAATAATGGAAAGCATTATGCATTTAGTAACTAGCAGACTTAAGTTCCAGGACCACCACTAATTTTCCTTGGATTATTAGAAACAGCCAGTGGATTTCCTCATCTGTAAAACCCGGCATATTTCTACCTGTCGCCACCTCACGGAGATGCTGGTAGCATCACGTGGCAGAGAGCATTTATTTGCTCGGCAAAAGGAGTGTGTGTTACAGACACCAAGCTGGCCCAGGACTGTCTGGGCAGCTACTGAGGTACGTCCAAGTCACCCCGTTATATAAGGGGCCCGCCTGTCTGGTGTCCTCTGAAATCCCTGACCCGACGTCATCGGCCACCGCCCTGAGGACGCCATACGGTGCCCTGAGGATAGGCGGTGCAGGGTGGGATCCGGGTGTCGTCCGCCCGAAGCTCGCGGCCGGCTGCAGAAAGCGTCTGAGACAGCAGCGGCTCTCGGGGATGAGACCGGAAGCCCCTCCCGACTGGCCCGCAGCCAGTCAGCGCTAGGCCTGTTCGAACGTGACCTTGTTTTGGCGTTGCTAGGAGACCCGGCTCCCGCAAGCCCCCGACTGGCCGGCTAGCGCGGGAAGTGGGCGGGGCCGTGGCAGGCGCCGGTAGCGGTCGGCCGAGCACCGTTAGGGCAGCCCCGAGCCCGGCGCCCGGCCAGACCCTTGGAAGAGGTGTCTCGTCCCCTGCCACCGCCCAGGCCTCGCTGGCGCCCTCCCGCTGGTATCAACGCGCTCCCGAGCGGCAGTGAGCCACGTTTGGGTCCGGACCAGGGAAGGACGTTAGTCAGGTGAGCCGCAGCGGGGCGGGCAGCTGGTGTGGCCACGCCCTGCCCGGGGAGAAGAGCCGGCCGGGTGCGGAGCGGCGAGGTGAGGGGATCGTGCTGCAAGGACAGCGGGCCTGCCCCGGCGGCTGCCGCAGGTCGGATCATTTACTCCTGTGGGCCGGCGCAGCCGCAGGGAGCACCCTCCGGCCAGCGGACAAAGGGTTAAGGCGCCGGCGGTGACCGCGGGCCCCGGATGTGAGAACCTCTGCATGGCATCCGTGGGCCGCGCTGCAGGTGCGCCCGGGCGGGAGGAGCGAGCCGGCTGGCGGGGACCAGACCGACCGGCCGAGGCTCCCCTTCCCCTGCAGGGGTCGCTCGGCTCCCTCCGCAGGCGCCCTCTTTTCTAACTTGAGGGCAACAGGTGGTGCGTGTGGACCGAGGGAGAGCCCGGCTCCGCCGTGCTGGGAGCGGCAGTTACACTCACCAATTAGGGCGCGGGGGCGCGTGTGGTATGGACGCGCTGACGCAGGTGACCAATGGGATTTGGGCTCAGGGGTGGGCCGTGTGGAGTGGGCGTGGTCGTAGTCTGGAGCCACAGTTTCTAGTGAGGCAACCGCCGGAGCTGCGTGGAGAGCTAAGCTGAGCGGCGGTGGGGTGCTTCTCTGCCCCCTCGTAGAAAAGCCTGCCAATGCTTTCTCATTTGGATCCAGGCTCCAATTCGGGAGGTGAGAGCATTGTATTTTGGGGTGGGGCGGTTGGCGCGCGGAGGCTAATAGTGACCTTGGGTATGCTGTTAAGCGTGTACAATTAGATCCTGAAGATCAGATTATGTGTTACAAATTTTCTGCCAAAAAAGGCACTTCTGTGGTTACTGCGACTTGGACGAATTGCTGGTGACTAGGTTGTCTCCGGTATGAGGTCTTAAAGGTCTGGGGACCCAGGGGGGTAGAGAAAAATACATATTACTACAATTTCAGTGAATGTTAAAGAATTTCAACGGCAATGATTATTCTGTCGTTTACCTTGGATCGCGTATGTTTCTTATCTCACTGGGTTTGTTTACTGAAGCAAGTTTTATTTACCAAGTTCCTCGTGTTGCTTAGTTTAGCAGGAAGAGAGAAAAGCAGTTGTAGCACATTATTTCACAAGAATAACTTACTCATTTTCCCCTTCAGTCTGGTAGCTGGATCCCCTAGGAAGAGAAGTTCTCACGCGGTAAGAAGAAAGCCTTTCAATTTGGGACACTTCCTTGCAGCTGGAAATGGGGAATGGACTGTCAGACCAGACTTCTATCCTGTCCAGCCTGCCTTCGTTTCAGTCCTTCCACATTGTCATTCTGGGTTTGGACTCTGCTGGAAAGACAACTGTGTTATACAGGCTGCAGTTCAATGAATTTGTAAATACCGTACCTACCAAAGGATTTAACACGGAAAAAATTAAGGTAACCTTGGGAAATTCTAAAACAGTCACTTTTCACTTCTGGGATGTAGGTGGTCAGGAGAAATTAAGGCCACTGTGGAAGTCATATACCAGATGCACAGATGGCATTGTGTTTGTTGTGGACTCTGTTGATGTTGAAAGGATGGAAGAAGCCAAAACTGAACTACATAAAATAACTAGGATATCAGAAAATCAAGGAGTCCCTGTGCTAATAGTTGCTAACAAACAAGACCTGAGGAACTCATTGTCTCTCTCAGAAATTGAGAAATTGTTAGCAATGGGTGAACTGAGCTCATCAACTCCCTGGCATTTGCAGCCCACCTGTGCAATCATAGGCGATGGACTGAAGGAAGGACTTGAGAAACTACATGATATGATAATTAAAAGAAGAAAAATGTTGAGGCAGCAGAAAAAGAAAAGATGAATGGTGATAACCTTTTAGATCTGTGTGGAGTAGGTTTTCTGTGGTCTGATTTTGACAAATGGAAGAGTGTCTACATCCTGGTTTGCCTGCCTGCCCTCCTGGATGCTGTTAAAGCTTTGTTTTGTTGAACAATCAGATGTCCAACTCTGTTGCCTTGTGGAAGATGAGTAAATGCAGTGCTTCTTAAAATGGCCTCTTCTGCCTACCCCACAAATCTTTTGGTACTACCATTTTGGGAAGCCAAGCAAAGATAGAAAATTGACCAGAAAACAGCTGTGGAAATTTGACCTGAAGTTAGTGAAATAAAACTTTGAAGAGTGTCTGCCTAGTGTTTTGTGCCTACATCTTTTGGGGGGAAGCCTTTGCAAAGAAATTGCATGCAAGGCTTTGTATGTTATGCTAATGAATGGAAATGTTAAGGTAGATTAATATATACAGTCATACTGGTCACGTTGGTCCAACCAGTAAGGGACAAGGAGGCAGTGCTTGGCTTTTTAAGTTTGGCTGAATGAATTTTGACATTTTCTGGAATCAAATACTGTAATGCTGTATCTTAATTCTAGACGATGTTTAAGTTGGTCTAACTTAAAATTTAAAAAGAGGTATTTGGGGCATATTCAAGTGCATGGATTAGTTTTTCTGACAAAGCATGTTTTGGTGTATAGTCTTTTACTTTCTAGAAATAGCTATGCATCTTTTTACACGGTCAGGTTTAAAACACCTTTTTGGGGATTTAGGGCTGTTTTAGAAATAGTTTGTTGTCAGAGTCACTTTCAGTTAAAGAACCTAAAATAATTTACTTAACTCTTTTACATAGTAAATTTGGGCATGTAGACTAATCGTAAATGCATATGCTTTGACAAATGTATGGATTTATGAAGAAAGCAATTGATGAATTCAGTCAAGAGGGTGTAACTACAATACATGGTCTCTAAAGTATTCCAGTTGTAAAATATTTGTTTTATTATATTTGCTGGCTGAACACAGATGTGGTTTTTCATATATTTTTGTAGTGTTTTGAGAGAAGCAGAAGCTTTATAACCAACACCTAATGCACTGTGCAGTGAAAATGTAAGAGAGGTCCTTATGTGCTCTGAGCTTTAATTTTTTGTTTACAAACTGAACAGTGTTATGCAGGCAGTCTAGTCCTGATTATAAGGTAGGAAGAAATGATACAGTACTACAGATAAGAATTACGGTTATAGAAAATGAAGGGGAAAGTAGCAAAGCTATGTTTTGTGAAAATTCACTGGTACTGTTTACTTTGGAATCCAAAAAAACCCTCTAAATTAAAAGGAGGAAAAACCTTTACCTAATTCTTATCTACAGGTAAAGACTTGCTTCCTGTGATCATATATAGCAAATCAACATGATTTCTATGTGTTAAAACCAACACCTGTTTGTTTTGAAGATAACCAAAAGAAATGCACTTTGCTAGCAGGGTTTGGTTTTGGGTTTTTTTGTTTTTTTTAAATGGAGTTTTTGGAAACTTGGTTCATGTTCACATAAAATGAAGTAGCTTCCTGTGGAGCCTTCACATGTTAAATGTACCTGCACTAGTGACAGTCATTTAGAATGTTTATATTCATGGAAATGTGGATAATAACTACCAATAAACTACTTGAGGCACTAGGAGAACAGTGTTTGGCTTTGAATTTTAATGTATGTACTTCCACTTCTGATGAAGCTACTAATTAGTAGTTGAAAAACAACTTTTGAAAGCTGGGTTACACAGTCCTATAGTCGTGTGACATAGGCACCAAAGGTTGTTTTCTGGGAGAACCTTTATTTTTTTAACCCTTCACTGTATGAAATCATATACAAACATGAGTAGATCCATTATGGATTAATAAAGCTTGCTGAAAGAAAAGTCTGTGAATCAGTTTAGATTTTCAGCCTTCCTGTACTTTTTATGTACTCCTGTGTAAAATAGTAATGTTTTAACTATCTCTTGAGAATTTATGTGTTACCCTTATTTTGTAGCCTAAGAATTTGATAAGCAAATCCACATTATCTAAGTGTTTCATATTTAGTGAACAACAAAAAGAAAAGAGAAAATGGCATGGACACTATACTAGCTTTTATTTATAAAACACATTTTCAACTAGAAAACTCATCATAAAATTTTCCAGTTTGCTAAGTTCAGGTTCTCCACCACCTATTCTAGCTGTTAATACCATAGGATAGGATATAAGGAGGCTTGAAATAAACCCTGAAGAGTTTAGACAATGCTTTTACATCTAGTTTTTTATTATTATTATTATTAAGGTACACCTTTTCTAAAGTGTATTTCTAAAATTTTTTTTTATATTTGAAGTTATTTGGTTTAATGCCAAATATCAATCAAGAACAGCAACTCTAAATCCAAATTAGTATCAACAAAGTAAAAATTTTTTTTAGTTAAAAAAAAATGCTTTGATACTTAAAAGAGCCTTAAATTTTACATGCCCACAGTTGTTCTAAAATAGATTATAAACATTTAGAAAAAAAATAGTTGTACACTTTAAGTAGCCAACAAAGATAGATTCACTAAGAATCATGGAAAAATAAATAAATCATTAGAAGCCAAAAAGTGGAGTTATTAGTATAAATATATGTATGTAGACAGAGAATGACTAATTTGTAGAAGGATGATGCTTTCTGAACAGAAGGAAGGGGCAGACTTAGAATGTTTTTGTTTGTACAAGGCATTTGACACTTAAAGAATGTTTCATTAATTATTCATGTTGACCTGGAAAGAGATCTTTGGTACAGTGTTGCAAGGTTCTATTTAATACAGTTTCCTCAGTGATGTAAACAAAATGGTTTCTTCAGCTATAACAGTGACACAAAAGAATGTTTCTTTAAACTTTTGATGATGTAACACTCAATAGTTAGCTAATAGAACTTGGAATGTTGAGTATACCATCATTTGAGGTTGGAATTTTACATTTAAGGTTTAAATTTAGCAGAACATTCTGTGATAGTGGTGATGCTTGTGCAACATTGTGAATATACTAAATGCCACTGAATTATACATCTAAAAACAACTAAAAATAGTAAATTTTATGTGTATTTTACCACAATAAAAAAATTTAGGATATTAAATATACTTCAAATAACCAGCTGAGTGAGAGCAATGTGATTCAGAGACCAGATTTAATTACACATTATATGGAAAACTGGGATGCTTAAATTAAAGCTTAATATGAACCAGTATAGCATGGTAAACGAATCACAAAGTTAATATTAAAATATATGACAATCAGAATAGTCTCAACAAACCATAGCTGAAGTATATGTCAAATTCTGTGTATGTAAGTTAGAAATACAAGAATACCTATCTTGGAGGCTAGTTTAGGTGGATGTTAAGTGTTTTGTCTAAAAACAGAATGAGATTTGAGGTCAGATCAGGGTTCAAATCCTGGCTCTCCCACTCTTACACAGGTGACCTTTTGTCAAGTTCCTTGGAACTTCTCACCGTATGAATACCTTCCTGGTAAAATGAAGACTCTTGCATAGAATTTTGAGAGGACTGAATGAAATAATGTAAATGTAAACATCACCACCAAGCATTTGATAAGAACTCAATGAATGGTAGCTATTATTGTTAACCAGTACGAATCAGTATGTGTTGAGAGGCAGTATGGTGTAGTTGATAAATTTTTAATTCCAATACTATAAAATTCAGCCCTTTTTAAAAAGTTCGTTTTTAGAAGTACAACATCTGCTTTATAGTAGGCATCCAGTAAAACCTTGTTTAAGAACTTGAATCAATGCCAGCTGAAACCATCTTCTAAGTGTCACATCTTATAAATTTATTTTTTATATGTACATGTACATATACACACAAGAAGGGAGCTTTGCTTGTGAGCTGTGCTAAATATCTTTAAAAGTGCAGCATTCTAAAACATGGGTGGTTGAAGGGAGATGCTGAAGTTGATTGATTTCAGTGATGCTCTAGTTTTAAATAAAACTTTATTATGACAAATTTCAAGCTTATACAAAAGTAGAATACTGTAATGAACACCCAGGTATCTCTCATGTACTTTCAGTAATGATGAACTTTCGTCCCATTTTCTCTACAGTCTCATCTTTTTCTGTCCCCTTTCCTCTCCCCCACCCCTGTATTATTTTGAAGTGAGTCCTAGAAATTATATTTTATTTATAAATGTTTTGGCATGTGTCTCTAAAAGATAAGCACCCTTTAAAAAAAACACTCTCAATATCATCACATATAAAATAAAACTAATAATACTTCTTCAAGATAATCAGATATCTATTCAGAGTTTACATTTCCCCGATTAAAGTTTTTGCAGTCAAGATCAAATCAATAACAGTCCATATGTTGTGATTGGTTGATATGTCTCTATAGGTCCTCTCCATCCCCTCGCACCACACCCCCTTCTTCCCTCCCTCTCCTCCCTATTCTCCCTGTCCCCCCCTTCCCTCTCCCCTCTCTCTCTCTCTCTCTCACTGCAATTTATTCTTGTACAGTTTCCCACACTCTGGATCTTGCTGAATGCATCTCCCTTTCGGTGCTTAACATGTTCTTTGTATGTGCTCTCACTTTTCTCGGTTTCCTCAAGACTACTTTAGATGGTGTTTTAGGTGGTGTTTTATACTTCCATCCATAGGTACTATGGTCTGGTTGTCTCTTTGTGCTGGTAGCAATCATTGATGGTCATTGTCTTAATGACATCTAATAAAACTCTGTGATGATGGATATATTCTATATCTACACTGTCGAATGTGGTAGCCACTAGCCTCATGTGGTTACAGAGTGTGTGAAGTGTGGCTGGTGTGATTGAGGGACATAATTTTAAATCTTATTTAATTAAATTTAAATAACTGCATTGGACAGGACTGATTGATAAGAAACTTTCTGGACTTCCCTGGCAGTCCAGTGTTTAAGACTCCCTGCTTCCACTTCAGGGGGCTCGGAATCAATGATTTGGTATCCTGAGGTTCAGTTCTTGAAAGGCAAGATAAATGCTTGTTTCTTTTGATTTACTAATTTTCAAGATAAGTTGATTCCTTAGCAACTTCTAAGGGTGACCAGTGAGGTTTGTTTTATTTTGAATACCATTATAACCTTACACATTTAAACATATTTGATATATTTCAATCCTTTGCAGTTATTATCCCTATTCATGCTTAAACTGTCCTATCTTTGAAAAACTAAGTTCTTTTGACATAACCCTAGTAATCTTTAATAGTTTCTTTACTTTCTGGTTTTATAAGAAATTCCTGCCTTACCAGACTTGTGTTTTTCTAGGATCCCAGGTTTCTTTTAGTGGGAAATGGTATGAAGAGTCCTCTGTGTAAACCACTGAATTTTTCATTGTTCCTAGGCCTCTTCAGTGAATGGAATAGGACTTTTTAAAAAAGATGCATCAGTAGTTGTCGCTGATAGTTCCAATTCAAAGCTTAAAATTCATAATGGTAGGGTCTTTATTTAACCTCAGTGATACTACTTAGAACCTCTTTTCACCTATGCCAAAAATCCTGGTTATCCGTGACACACACTTATTCCTTTGCTTTATTCCACTTTAATCTCACTACATTCTCAAAATAATACTACTACCAAGAATCTGATTACTGTAAGTGGTTTAACAATAGTTGTAGTTTCTTTTGTCCTTAGGTTATACCTCACTAGGGATAATTATAATATATCTCACTACAGTAAAATTCTTGTTCATTTGTTTTTTTTTTTTCATGTGTGGTTATGCCACCACCTGGTACATGTTTAGGTACATTTGTTTCACAAAATATTTTATTTGCTTTTAGAAATGTTGATTCTGGTTTACTTAGTATATACAGTTCTTCCAGTATGGTTAAAATATTCAGGAATTCCCTGGTGGTCCAGTGGTCAGGACTCTGCTCTTTCACTACCCAGGGCCTGGGTTCAGTCTCTGGTGGGGAACTAAGATCCCACAAGCTGCATGGCATGGCCAAAAAAAAAAAAATCAACTTGGGATTAAAAATAATTTACATACCATACATTAGAATCCTCTCTTTTATAAACTAAGCTACATGAATATTTTCCTCAATCAAGAAAAATACTTTTCTAGGCAATTTTTTGTTTTTCTTTCTTTTTTTTTTTTTTGGTAGTACGTGGGCCTCTCACTTTTGTGGCCTCTCCCGTTGCGGAGCACAGGCTCTGGACACGCAGGCTCAGCGACCATGGATCACGGGCGTAGCCGCTCCGCGTCATGTGGGATCTTCCCAGACCTGGGCACGAACCCGTGTCCCCTGCATTGGCAGGCGGACTCTCAACCACTGCGCCACCACGGAAGCCCTGTTTTTCATTTTTAGTTTGAGACCCATACTTTGCAGAATTGTTTGGTGAAAATTTAAGTTCATGGAGTTTGCATTTGAAAACATCTGATACAGAACAGTCTCTGATTGAAAAGGGACTCTTGCCTTCCTATTGCAGCTCTATGTAATGTCAACAAGAATATGAAGTCATTATTTTTCTTTCTTTTTAATGCAGAAACTGAGTAACTGAATAGCAAGTGATTAGAAACCATGGGCTTCCAGTGGACCAATGAATTTTTCAATATTAATATGAGAAGTGCTTATTTCCCTTAATCCATCATCTATCTGTAGATACCCTGAAATGGGTCAATGACAAAATGGAATTCCCTAGAACA